GGAACGGGCACCTAGGAGACTTCGTGACTGGTAAGTTCTTGTTACCAGTCAACTCGGAAGTAGTTAAACTCCCGATACCCCAAATTTGAATGATCGACTTTTTGACTGGTTTGGATGCGCGATGATGCAACGGTATGCGAGCTACAGAGAGTGATGCTGACCTTGAAGAAAGTGAAGCAATTCTGCTTCGATTATGGACGACTTCTTTGTAGCGTCGAATTGCTACATATGTGGTTTGAATCACACACTGTGAAATTGACCCTGGGTTGATTCGCAGTGTCCTGATCAGATGTTGTCCAATGTCATTCAAGCCATTATCAGAGGAGAAGTCATCTTAGGTTTCCGTGAGCCCACCTCTTATCACCAAAGTCCAAGGTGAGCTGTGGACAGTCAAACCAGTGAGACCACAGACCCAAGCAATCATATTCCAGCGAACTAGCAATGTGCCTAAGAGAAGTGGAGGCGTGGGGAAAACTCGTCCCAAGACATTGGGCTGGCCACTTATTATTATTGGTTAACCGGTTCGCTCCCTGAATCTAGATAGATTTGGGACTTGCGACTAAAGGACTAGCCACGAACAGATCTTAATTGAATCATGTTATGTGTCAATTCAGAGACATGTGAAACACACCAGAACTGTTGACCGTTGCGCCTGAGATTAAGGCTGAGTTTGACAGCTTTTTTTCCAAACGCTCAGGAACGATGACCTCATTCGTGGGTTTTCAATTGGCCTGAGAGAAAAAATTTTAGATGTCTAAGACTCTAGGCCAGGCACCTTACTTCCTGCTGCAGCAGACGCAACCAATTAAGCAGTTGAGTGATGACTGCAATTGTCTTCCTAGATCCGCGTTCTCAACTCAATACCCGTAATACTTGACGGTACAGTACCGATGCAATGATCTCGGGGTCGTCGTTGATTCGCTTCATTTGGTGATTGTTTCGGCAGGGGTAGTTCCTGGACCACGGGCTGGAGAAAGCCAAACGAATTCAACGGCTAGACAATCGCATTATTGATGGCGTGGCTATTGATTCTTCATTATAGGACTTAGAACAAGACGAGCTGGTAAATGATAAGGGGAAATTGCTTTCCTTGCTTATCTGCTTTCTTAACCTGTGAGACATCGAATCTAGGCTAGTTGGACAGTAAGAATGGTGCAGTTCGTCAATTAGTTAACAAGCATATGTTGGTAGCAGTAAGTGTACAAAGGGAATGGCTACATTGAGATTTGGATTGCTGTTTGCGTTGTCATGGAACACATCATCTGCAATGTCATTTTGACAGCTCCATCATAATACTGCGGTTGGAAATTGTGATTGAGTTCTTATTCATCACAACGGTACCCAGGAGTGGCCTGTTTGCGACTTCAGCAAACTTCTGTAGTATGCTGATTGCTGCCTCGTTAGGGGGCCATCTATCGGATGATACTGTGGACACTACCTTACCTATCGAAGAGAGGTACTACGTACCTTACTCCATACGTCGTTACAGACACGGCCAACCCACTTAATACCACGCTTCATCCCTCCAAACGACCCAGATTCGACTGATTCAACCCCTTTTAAAGAGACACCAGTTGTTGTTGTTATTGTTTATTACTGATATTTATCATTGTTATTATATAGTTGAGTTCATATTAATAACGCCTAGTAGTGTTATGATGATCCATCATAGATTTGATGGCCCATTTGCTACCTACTTAGGTAGACACCTCTATCCGCAATCACCAATCATCCAATCCTCTCCCTGGTCTCACTCACACCTTTAGGTTCTACAGCGTTACACTTGCAGACTGCTTTTAATTCTTGCTTTTCCCTTTTCTTTTCTTTTTTTTTTTTTTTTTTTTTTCTTTTTCTTTTTTTTTTTTTTTTTTTTTTTTTTTTTCCCCTATGCCCTTTCGTTCATATCCTTTCTAATCCTTACAATTGACTACGGGGACAACCTGACAAGACAGTCCAAGGAAACAATTTTTGCCTTCCATCACGAATTTCTGGATTCCTTCTTTTCTGGGACTTCCTCCCTATCTTATCCCCACATCTTTCTGCTCATCTTAACTCCCCTTAAACCATCCTCTCCAAATCTCCACCCGTCTTCGTTCTAAGCCCACACGAAGCACTTTTCTTCCAACAAAGTTCATCATCATCATCATCTCGACTCTGTTGAGTACGGGGTGGAGAGAAACTCTGCCTAGATACTCTAGTAGGTGGCATCTCCGTTCGGAAAGCCGGAGCGCGCAATCTGGTTCACCATCTCCAATTTCCTCCCGGTTCTGTGCTGCGGAGTGCGGACTGCACAAAACCCCTATCTAATCCTCCTAAATCATCCTCTTTTCCACCCCCAGTTGGCGTCTTTAAGCTTGGCTTAGTCGCTACTAGAGTACTGGACCCGCCATTGCTGTGGATTACTCTGCAGGCGCCTTCGCTCTGCGCGGAATTCCCGACAAGCTGGGTCCCGACTCTTGACCCTTTTTGCAAAAGAAACTTGTGCTGCTACTTTTTCGACCCGCTGACACTGCTGCTGTCCGGATAGCTTCGATCGTTGCTCTCTTTTTCCCCTTCCATCCTTTCCAGGTATCCTCAACCTAGACTTCGCCGTGATGGCTTCAAAGGTACGCCGATCATTCGAAAATCCTGTTCCCTTGTGTCGCTCGCCGCCCCTTTTCCCTCTGAACATCACCGCGTCGCCTCCATCCCTGCGTATCTCGCCTTCGATCAGCCACAGGTTCCCAGGAAATGAGATGTATCACAATTGACTGACAACTTCTCAATTGCAGTTTCTTAGAGAGTATAAGCTAGTTGTTGTCGGTGGTGGTGGCGTCGGAAAGTCATGCTTAACAATCCAACTGATTCAGAGCCACTTCGTCGACGAATACGACCCAACAATTGAAGGTGGGTGGCTTCTTTGGCACAGTCATTGACGACTTGAGTGCTTACCGAAAAATTTTTTTTTTTTTTCCCTACTGTATAGACTCGTACCGCAAGCAGTGTGTCATCGACGATGAGGTCGCTTTGTTGGATGTCTTAGACACTGCTGGACAGGAGGAGTACTCGGCGATGCGTGAACAATACATGCGAACTGGCGAAGGCTTCCTCCTGGTCTACTCGATTACATCTCGGCAATCCTTCGAAGAGATTATGACTTTCCAGCAACAAATCCTGCGCGTGAAAGACAAGGATTACTTCCCTATCATTGTGGTCGGTAACAAGTGCGATTTGGAGAAGGAAAGAGCCGTTTCTCAACAAGGTAGGCGACCCTCCGGAGTCTTTCTCTCATTTGACCTTGGCAATATACTGATTAGGCCATCTGCTATGCAGAGGGCGAGGCTCTGGCCAGGCAATTCGGTTGCAAGTTCATCGAAACGTCCGCAAAATCCCGCATCAACGTTGAGAACGCTTTCTACGACCTCGTGCGCGAAATTCGTCGTTATAACAAGGAGATGTCGTCATATCCGTCCGGTTCTGGTGCCCCAGGCACACGTGCCCCTGAAGGCAAGATGGATGTGAGTGAGCCCGGCGACAGCGCTGGCTGCTGTGGAAGATGCATTATTATGTAATTGGGTCGACGCTGGTTTGCATGGTTATAAGGCGCGCAAGACAATATGAAGGAAGGAAGTCGCCGAATCCTACTTGAATTAAAGGAATAAGAAAGAAAGAGAGAGTGAGAGAGAGAGCTATGCTTGGCTTCAGGAGATGCAAGCCGAGACTGCGGTGTGGCCATACACCTGCATCCGTGACTTTTCGTACTGTACAAGGCTTGCTATCAGGTGATGTCTGCTCTCAGCATGAGGTTGTCATCGTCTCCATGACCGTTCGATTCCCCCTTTGTTTCTCTGTTTAGTCTTTTTTTTTTTTTTTCTTTGGAAAGATTGTTCTCTTGATGAATACCCGTTCCCTTGGCACAATGAGGGATGAGCCTGTCAATAGATTGTGCATTTATATAGGTACATGCTATTGTCATGGTTCACATCTTGGTACTCACTTGCGCAGCATCGCCGTTTCTTTTGTTCTTGTCCTTATGTGACCATCAGGACGTCCCTGTCTCTTCCGTGTCTTCGTTACCTATTCGTTTTCCATCGGATCCCTCCTCAATTTCCCCTGGCGCCCAATTTCATCCTAATATTTCAATTATATGCAGCGAACGTGGCCCTTTTCCAAAGGCTTTCTTCAGGAGAACTACGCCTGTCGGCTTCTTTCCTGCTTTTCATCCCCTGTGAGTCTACATGGATGCTCCTCTCTCATTTTCCTTTGATGGCGTGTTTTCTATCCATATTTCCTGCATATATCCTTGTCGAGCACTGTTCTTTTCTCGCTTTAGAAAATCGATGGGGCTTTTAGAAGAAAATTTGCTTCATCGGAAAGACAAGGTCGGATCCTGGTATGGATTCTTCAGGAGTTCCCCTTTTAATTGACATAGAACATCAATGTAGGATCTGCATTGTGCCTATAGCGTACTGTAAAGTGAGGATCTGTGGATTTCCTTTTCTGGTTAGTTTTGTCACCTTCCATGAGTGTAGTCATCTGATATGACGTCTTGTGTACTCCAGTCTCCTCCCTCACTCTAAAGTCCAGCTTAATCAGTCACAGCCTCCTCTATAGCATCAGCTGATGCTCGTGTATGGCAGTGGAGAAATCGACAAACTCCCCATCCAGGATCTCCCGCGCAATACTTCTGCTCTATGCCATAGAAGTCCGTCAACCGTGCGCTCAGAGACAGAGCAAAATGGGGTGTGAAAATAAATCAGCCAAGAGATTCTTTGCTGCGCAAAGAGGCATCATACAGCCACGTTATGGCAAGGGCCGTCATTCTCGGAGAAAACAATGAGGTCTTCAGTTTGATTGCTTAATATTGTCCAAAGTGGGGGAAGTGGATAGAGAACCAGCCCATGAACACGTTACTGATGTGAAAAGCTGCCATTCATTTGCTTCAGTTAGAGTGACCTTCTCTCCAGTAGCCCTCCTCGAAAACAGCATGAGCCTGTTGGACCTATTCCATCTAACAAAACCTAACAAGAATCAACCCCCACAATAACATTATAGTTATCCGTGTCAAACTCCTGCCCATTCACCCTATCATCCCATTGATTGCCCCACCCCTTGGTCCCGGAATTGAAGTCCACATGGGCACACTTCGACACAATATCCTCCGCGTATGTTCCCAGGTATCTACAGCTCGGCTGGATGTACCATGCATTATCATTGCACAGCCAGATAGCAGCGTTGTAGGAGCAGCTGATGCGAGCACACGCGCGCGGGCCGGCGCCGGCGCCGACGCCGCACGCGCCGTTGAGTCCCTTCAGGTAGTCGATTCCCTGCATGATGGTCACAGTCGAGCATCGTCCACCTTTGTCGCCAGAGATGTTGCAGATGACGCCGGACTGGGGGGTACTTAGTTTACTGGCCATTAACGGGAGAGGGGATCGGATGACGGACCTTGTTTCTTTCCTCGATACCGCGGGCACTGAGGCTGCTGTCGTTTTGGCCGGGGCTGACGACGAACTCGGGGTTGACGTCGAGGATTTGAGTCATGACTTCCTGGAGGTTGTCAGTCTGCAACCTTAGGGCGGATCAGTGGCCGTGAAGCTACCTAGATGGTCCCCTTGAACGTGACCACTGGCTTGTCCGGATGAGGCTTTCCTGTCCATTCCATGGGGACGATGGTGTATCCTTCGATTGGAGAATCGCGGACCATAAGAGCGCCCAACACAGCAATGTCAGCAGCCTTGAGCGTCTTTTGTGCCTTGACGCTCATACCTGGGACAGAGAGGCCATTGAAGCAGCGGCAATAAGAAGGCTTGAGGACTTCATCTTGCAGTTGAGAATGTTTTGAAGGGAATCTGATGTGGACGAGTGAAGGACAGAAATGTTCGGGTGGACATATCGTCCAATTTATAGGTTTTGCAAGACAGTCAGAGGCAGGGAACAGGGTCTCGCTTTTTCCAGTCTCCTGGAGCATTGGGCCAAAGGAGCAACCAGGGTCCTCCAAGATGGGATTCCCTGCTGACGCTTTCATGATTACACTTTGAGCATCTTGCAGGGATGTATATTGAAGTGGATCATGGAGCAGCAGTCAGAGCTCTGTCCAAGGTAAGACACGGCTCAGTTGAATCTGCCTTGAGAATCGAGGTGGAAGCAGGAGCGAAAGAAACCCGTACTTCGAGTGCTCTGGAGAACCTGATTGATTACCTATAGAGGAAGCACTTCGTGCAGGTCTCTCTACTGCTTCAAAGCGCTGGAAGCTCTCACAATGTTTCTAAACGATACATGACTGACAGTGATGACTGTGGTCAGTCACCGTCATACAAATTCGCAGCTGGCTGGTCCCTAATCAATTCTTCCCTAGGTTGATCAGTCACTATTGTAGCGGCCTTGACTGAGGAACCCTGCTCCATTGAGCTAACGCAATGTTGGCTTGACCTGGTTGACCAACAAAACAAGCATCATTGACTGGACAATGCAATGGTTTCGGTACACTTACTATCAAAGACCGTCAGATCCGTACTTCCTTCTCCTACTATCGGTCCCTTGACCAGCTAGAATTGGTTGCATGTTGCTCCGGTGGGATGAAGTTGCTTGCGGCTTGAGCGAATTCATGGACCATGATTGACACACAGATACTATAAAGGGAATTTCAGGCGTCCAGCAGGCATGCACTAATGGTGCAAACATGACTCTTGAGGTTACATGGAGCGATTTCCGCGATCATTTAAGGCTTGGCTATAGTTCATTTTCAAAACAACCGGGATGGATGGTGCATGATACTATTTACCCACGATTGGTTTGTCGGCAAAATTCTACCATGTGTCAAGTTTCTCTGCTTGATTGGCTGCTCGAATATGCCTAAATGCGTTTATTTCTCGTCGTTCTATGTGGCCTGCCTAAGTCTACTTATATTATCAAGGGTCTGAACAAAGAGGCGCAGCACACATAGCCAACAGACGACGAACCCAGGCTACAACATATGTAAAACTTGATATCTACTTTATTTTGCCTGGACGCCTAACATCCGAAACAATCATCAGTCCGAGAATGTCTGATCAGCTCTACTGTCTCAAAGACCATCATGTCTACAGATAGCTTCGACACTTACAATGGCAGACACGACACCCTGGCACTTGATCGCAGAGTCTCAGGCGAGACATTACGCGAGTGAGCGTCCCAAACTCTTCCAGTTACCTAGCTCTAACACCTCCAGGACCCTACCAAACCAAGCCGAATCTATCCTCGAAGAGCGAAAACGCCCAAGCGACACCAGCAACCCCAAGCAGCTCAAGTATCTGGCCAAGAACCCGGAGTGTATTGACTGTCCCTTCTGCCATGAGCGCGCTTTGTCCAGGGTCGAGACGAAGAGTAACGTGGGCGCTGCGTAAGTCGTGCCCTTTCTTTTTTTTTTCTCTCCTCATTTTCGATACTTTCCCTCTAAACTAATCAATGAGCAGAGTCGCGTCCACGGCAATGAGTGCAGTCTCTATGCTAGTTAGAGCTGGTCCTCAGTGGGGTGGCGTGCGTGATTTTACGCATTATTGCTCGAGATGTGACCGCAAAGTGGCTGTCAAGTGCCATTCCAAGGGCAATGCAGATGTCTTTAGTCCGGAATGCATAAAGTTAGATGGTCATTGAATGGTCATTTCGTCGGAACTGCTTCAATTGCACTAGATGAAAGTATGTTATTTCCCGCGAATATCGGACCAGTTATGCCTGGAAGTCACAGGCCAATGCATGGAGAAGATGTTTCACGGACGCATAGGCTTAGGTGAGTATCAGAATAGCCAGGAACTATATCGCCCGCTTCATAACAATATGAAACGGATCCCATGGTGAGACATCTCTATTCATTAGTTATCTACCGCCAAGGTCAACCTTTTTTTTTTTTTCCTTTCTAGGAACCAGCACAATGTTATTTGCTACATATGCAGAATTTATCTATCAGCCAGAGATTGTACACGCAAAGATCATCCCGAATGCAGCCTGTAGTACCTCTACTCCGACCCAGATGGAGGGTCCAGCTCATCCTCCCGAGATACCTTCTTGCCCTGGACGTTTTCCTCGACCTCCGCAATCACCGAGTCCATAAAAGCCTTATCTGTTCCGACCAGAGTGACGGTGTTACGCTTTTTGCCCCAACGAGGGTAGCTGCCGACTTTGACGCCGTGCGCGCTGGCCCGGGCAGCAAGGTCCGTCAGGTACGGCGCGACGGCGCTCTCAGGGAGCGGGGTGCTGAAGAGGTAGCGGTAGATACCTTTGCCCTCCGGGTTGGCTAGCCGTGGGAGCAGAACGGGCCTGAGGCGCTCGAGGAGGCGCTCGAACAAGCGAGGCACGCCGGGGAGGATATGCACGTTACCGTTGACGACGGCGATAGGCACCCACATGTCGTCTGCAACGAAGAGGGCTTGTGATTCCGCGGGGAGGTTCTCGTCGTGCGGGAGGTAGACCATCCGGAGCTTTGCGGTGAGACCGGGCGACGGGGTGTCCCAGTCGAAGTGAGGCTGCATGGGGTGAGGCCTGGAGAGTTTCTTCATGCGCTCGAAGGCGAGGGTGTGAAGTTTGAGTGGCAGATTGAAAGCCTTGGCTATCGATTCGTATGTAATGTCATCGTGGCTTTTGGAGGGACGCGAGGTGGAGAAGTCAGCTTTGAACACTTGCAATACAATACGAGGGAGATGTCAAGGACGTGGAGGTGAGGGCGTGTACGGACGTTGGCCCAATGCCTCCACTGGTCACAACAAAGTCGTAGTTGTTGCTCATCCGTCTCACGGCCTCAATGATCTCGCTCTCATCGTCCGCAATGACTTCCACCCGCTTGAGTTGGATACCGAGTGAGAAGCAATATTTAGCAAAGAAGGCCGAATTGGTGTCGATAGTCTGGATACGTTGACATCAGAAACCTGTTAGTTATTTCCATAATTCCGACCCATGGGACTTCTTTGCAGAATCATTTGCTAATCTTGTGCTCCGATCACATAACCTTCGCAGAACAGGAAGATATGAAGAGGTCTCACCTTTCCACCAAGGACTTCATCACCAATGATCAGACATGCCGCCGTGTGGATGGTCTTAGATGGACTGGGCACGACGGATGATGTCATGATGGAAGACGGTTTGCTGGATAAGGGGGAGAGTGAGGTTCGCGAGGTGATCGGAGATATAAATTTGGTACTAAGCAATGGCCGGGAAATATGGCGAGAAAGCTGATTGAGACGATTTAACATGGAGAAGGAGGGAGAACGCGGGGGAGTTTGGGGGTTGAGAAGAGTCTAGGCCGCTGGACATTTGAAGACGATTTTATGAAGGATCAGAGGGAGTGGGGTGGGGAATCTTTGATCAATCGCAATGCCGCGCTCTTCATCATCGCTTGCAAACGCGGAATCTCTTTCATATCATCAATCTTTCGCCTTAGACAGTCTCTCCGCTTCCAGTGCAGACTTATCAAACGGACGCTTGAACATCTTCCGCGTCTTTATTTGTATCGGTTGGCTGTCTTACTTTCTCTATTCTCCCAGCAACATGGTGAGCTCCATCTGCCCCGCACATGCCTTTCTGCAAGGAAAGATCTGCTGATGATGATATGTCTCTCTTAGTCTGAATCACGATTATACTCTTTTTCTCCCGAGACAAAAGAAAACTTGCGCAAGTTTCGCTTGGGAACCTCCAGAGCGAAAGATCCGCAGGCGGTCATTTGTAGGACACCCATTTCCCGCTGCCCTAGACAAGCCATGCGCTACTTGTCGACGCAAGGCACAGAGGGCTTCATTCTTGAGATGCGAACTTTCACAAAAGGCAAGAATTGACGACCAATCTGGCAGATATCATCGACTCCAAGACACAGGAGATCCGAGCCGAAGATGGTGAAGTCTACACGAAAATGGAGGATCTGGCCGACGAGCTCCCAGAATCTTCCCCACGCTTCATTCTTTTGAGTTATCCCTTGACCTTGGTAGGTGGCATCCATGCTGGAGGCTCCAAGACACTTCCCCCCTCACTTTTGTCCAACGAATGTTCATGCGCTAAACTAAATTTTTCTCGTCTCACCAGGGTTCCGGTCGCCTGACGGTCCCTTACGTCCTACTCTACTACCTTCCCGAAAATTGCAATCCATCCATGCGAATGACATATGCCGGTGCTGTGGAGCTGATGCGCAATACGGCAGAAGTCAACCGCGTGATCGAAGTTCAGGATGAGGACGATATACTCTCCATCGAATCGAAGCTTCAGGGGTCGGATTAATCGAGCCGTAGAACGGCTCGTATGGCATGATACTATAGTCACTGTGATATTCGGCGGCGTCCTGGGAAGATTGACGCTACGTAACGATCGTACCGGCACTGCGCCTTTCTCTATACGTTAGTATTGCATTATAGGATGGCCATTGAGTTGGATTATTTTGCGGGGTGATTATCCCTGTTGACCAGGATCCTGCAAATCTGCGAAGCTGCAACGACATACCGGCAATAGACCACTACCTACGCAGTGGCTGCATATATTCTTTCTCCAGATACTGTCGAATCATTGACTTCCATTTTATTCCTTGCAACTGTTCTTGTGCAGCTCATTTAACTCATATTGCATGTGCTTCCACTTCGCTTACGGCGACAATGGATAGAAGCATGTGACATAGATACTATATTGTCACGAAGCAACTCACAGAAGTCGTTAGAGACGTGCCAAGAGCCTGGAATTTGTCATCTGTTCGGTAGGATCGCAGATCGGGCCCGTCAATAACAAAGCATCTGTATAGATGCTTCATCGATCGTGGTAATATTCGAAACAACCGGTAAAACCTTGAGACAGATCCTGTCTTACTGGGGCAATTACGGTAAATCCGCACTGGAGAATTCTCGGCCATTTTAAGCGGAGTAAACCGATGAGGCAGATAAGGTTTATTACAGTATTATTTGAATGATTGGATCTGTTGTGGTGCTGTTCCACTGCATTCCTGCTGGTACTGCTGGTACTGGCAGCCACCACGGCCTTTTTGGCCAACATTTTGCTGGAATCAATTATCCCTGTCTAGTCTAGCAGAGTCAAGGGAGTGTGATTGGGTCCACGTCCCCGATCCCAGAGACCCGGTCGTTTGAGCAGTTATTTAGTGTTATTAGTGGTGGCTGGCGGTTTGTACGGAGTAGTGACACTGGCTATCTCCATAGTGGTTGCAGCTTTGAAGGCACCAGGTGGGTGGGTCGGTGGGTTTCGGGGGCACTGACCACCGTGTCTTGCTCTGGTAACTCTAGTACTCCACTGGTCCCAAGGGTGATATTCGGTGGTATATGCCTATATGGTACATATTATTACGTTGGTATGGCATAAAGATGTAAGCTGAAGTAACTCATCTATACTACCTACCTCTGCAAAGATCACATGTTGTACAGAATTGGCCGAAATAGCAACTGATCTACTATAGATCAGGGCATAACAATACTCACTACTGAGGACACATCATCACCATCCAGAATCAAGCAAACAAGCAGAAGGAACAACGTCACTTCTCCCCCATAGATAGAAATCTCCCTGAGACAATCCACCAATCTGCAGATTGATATTGCGCCATCCTGCCATGAAGAGCATTAGGAGCATCCAAAACACCCCCATGCGGTCTAGGGGCCACCACCAGGATTCCAAAAGCGCGAATCTGTAGCCCCGCGCATGCTAGAAGCCGTTGGAGATTTCTTGCATTCCCATTTATCATTTCGGTCATTGCATCAAAGTGGCGGTCCATAACCAGCTGGTCGCTTTTCTGACTCTCTCTCAGACCATTGCGTCGCCAATTAGAGCGGCCTGCTTTTGAGGGGTTAATCCAGCCCATGTGAGATTGCTGCAGTAGAGAGTTCTGGGCAGTGGTCTGGCATGTGCGCGATGTATGCTAGAACTGTAATTTGTTCATACCAGAAAAACGTATGACATCAATGATATATGCAGAAATATACAAGGCATATAACAACCTAATTGTATTGTTATTTTGCGATGTTGTCATGAAGGATTTATCCAGTTGGCACACTAGCAAGGGGCTCTCGGATCTGCAGACTCGTCAAGGTGCCATTGTTGCCATTCATGGTTATTATTAGGGGGGAGCAATCGTCTTGTTCATTATTTAGGGTTGGCGCGCTTGTACTACTGGAATTTCTCCATCGATACCTTACAGAGTACGTAACTTTGTATGGTTTCAATGATTTACCAGCTAGGTAAATCGTCCGAGCTGAACTACTTTAGCTCGTGCTAAATCTCTCTTGGTCTATAAAAGGAATCATAATCCGAGGTCTCTCAATCAGTGAGGTACTAGTTAAGATTCTATTTGAAACATAGTTATCAGTTGATAGCTTTTTGCTGTAGACATAAAATGGCTCCAAATGCTGACAATACAGTGACGAATGCAGACATACTTATGAGCCCTGGTCGTAGCTCGCTTACGGATACCACGTAGAGAGATACATAAGGTACTTTAGGTAGAGGTTGACCCGGGACAACGGTTCCCAGGCAGCTAAAATCCATATCTCGCCACGATGCGGAGTATATTGTACTGGAGTGAACTGTTAAAAATCGGTGGAATGATGTCCAGTCATACCACACAACCATTCGACAGCCACCAGAGATGGATTTGCACACGGAATTGCACTGCAGCCGGAAATACTCCATACGGAGTAGAATAGCTCCAAGACACACCGGGCGAGACGCCTGTGGGTTCCAGCAAAGTTCCAGAGCGGGAAGAGTGCCTAATCCATCCATGCTCCACTTCGGACGAGGCCCATCCCGGTGCCTAATCGTCATTAATTATGACTTATTTCGGTCCATCTGGCTGCCTGGCAACTGCGTATTCAACTACTCAGGATTTGTCAAAGAGTGCCAAGGGCAAACTGCAAAGACAACAAAATGCATTTAGCGTCTCGGGTTGCCGGCTAGACGGCAGCAAACCATGGTAACTTCTCAATTTCGTTTCCATGAAGTCAACAAATTGTCCTCTGGTTAGTTATTGAATCTATAAAAAATCGTGGCGAATGAATAAAGTCTGAATTTATGATCATTTCTGATAAAACGAGTAGAATGCTTACATGAATCCTCTTGCTTAGAACCATACATAGGGGCATACTGTCTGAATGTGTACCTTAGGGTAAAAGGGTACCTAGGTTGCATGAAGTCTGTAAAAATACAGGAGAGTAATGTATCCACCAATATCCACCCCTCTTGCTCGTTCGGTTCCCCCAGAAAGTTTGTTCCTATGCTAAGTGCCAAAATGGGTAGGTAAATGATTATTTGTCTTCGTTCTCCGGTTCACTGTTAATATTAATTTCGTCTGGTGGTCTTTTCTTTTTCCCTTCTTTTTTTTTTTTCTTTTATTTCAAGGCCCCATTTCCCCTACTTTATTATTGGCATTGCTCCTTCCTTCCCAGTTTCCCTGGGTCGGTCGCTGCCAATGTCGCATATACAAACCACCACACCCACAATCTTCGCATCGTTCCTCATGACAATGAAACCAATGCAATCCGAGAACTAGACAGTTGACAGGTCTACAAGTCTACCGCCTCATTCGACCAGACCGATCGTCAGATTGACTCCTGTTGCAGCTTTGTCTGAGTGCACTGACCGCTACTCAGCCAATCACCCAGAATATAGTCCGCCCAGAGGTGCCTTCCCTGCCCGTCTCACATATTATTATTATTACCCATTGTTCGTGCAGTCCCCTGCGTCCATTTCCACTCTCACCGACTTGTCGGGTCTCCCAGGCCTTTGGATTCGGTACACCTCGTGAGACCTGCCATACCTGTGCTTCACCACTTCTGTTGGATTCGGCCCCCTTTCGATTTCACGCGTCCTAGTCAACTAATATTTGGTCGCATACATCACAATTTTTTTGCGTTTGAAATGTTATGAGAACGGGTTTCAACGGAGGAAATAGATCCTATATTTCGCGGGGCCGGTCGCAAGACTTCTGTCTCATCGCCACGGATCAATCAACTACGGATTCAGCGTGGAGGTTTCATAATAGGATACAGCGAACATGTCCAGCCAAAACGACACCAGCCAACCTGGTGAGGATAGGCAGGAAGGTTTCAGCAAGTATTTGAAGCGCATGAAAACGATCTTGAAAAGGAGTCCAACTGCAAGGGGTTCGATATCAAGTATGCAGGAGATCACTGAACAACCAGAACCGAGCCAAGTTGCCTTGTAGGTTTCATCTTTTTTTTTTTCCCCTACACATTCTTCAACATTAGCTAGATATTCTTTTTGTCACTCGTGCCCCTCTTCGTCAGACATATTTGTCATGATACTAGAGAGGTATACCACGAAATATTAATCAAGTTGCAGTCCCAGGCCTACCCCAGCGCAAAAGCCGGCCGCCAAACCAACTACTCAGCCGACCGTGGTAACGCACTGGAGCGCCATCCAAGAAGAGAAGACTCGCGCCCTTTTCGCCAAGTATGGACTGACACTTGAGCCTGGAGAGTTGAAAACGCCGAGCGACATGACTGTCCAGCGCGTGGCCAAGCCGATTCGTATGAGAGTTCGCCGCACTTGTCATCGATGCGAAACTACCTTTGGGCCCGACAAGGTGTGTGTCAATTGCCAGCATATTCGGTGCACCAAGTGTCCGCGCCACACTTCCACCAAACCCAAGGATCAGGCGCAAAATGCTCTTGAGGCTATCCGCGCAGCGCAAGGACATGGGCCGCCTCGACACATGAGCAAGGAATCAAAACTCACCATTCCTTCTCGCACTGGTGGCCAAGACCTCACCCGCAAGCCGATTCGGCAGAGAGTCCGGCGCACTTGTCATCGGTGTAATACTATGTTTCCGAACAAAGACGTGACGGAATGTCCTACTTGCAGACACATACGATGCAAGAAATGTCCTCGAGAACCGTATGCGAGACCAGTTCAACAATTTGTCCTTGACAAGCTGCTGATGAAGTCTAGGTCCAAACCGAATAAATATCCGGATGGCTATCCTGGAGACGCAGAACCTCCGTCAGAACCGCCAGCACGAACCTGGAAGAAACCACGACAGAGGGTGCGCTACACTTGTCACAAATGTTCTACGCTGTATGGATCTCGGGAGACGACCTGCTCGAATTGCGGCCAAGAGAAGGGACCGGAGACTATACGAGATCCGTAGGTTCATGATTGTTTGATTTCCTGAAATTGACTCTGACAGTTGATCAGGCCGAAAAAGCATAAACCGGAACCAGATCCAGAGATCTTAAGGCGGGTTGAGGAACGATTAGCAAACATCAGCACTACCAAGTAACGGCAATCACTTTGCATTTTTTTCGATTTGTCTATCAGCGACTGGTGATATGGACTTTCGTGCATTTATCTTTACCACAACACAACAGACTTCGTCTGATGAATCGGGCAATTAAGGGATTTCCCTCACACTAGCTTCTTGTTGAATCCATCTACAATTCTTCACCATTATTGAAGACATGATACGGTCCCTTGCATTACCCCCTTCGACTTCAACACTGGATATCGAAGTGTAGTGGATGGGCATGTTTAGGCTCACCCACCCTGGAGACAATATCAAACGACAGAAGACCCTCTAGTATAAAATGACAAGTTACCTACCAACAGACCATTCGTCGTCCAATCCTTGTTGGAATGGATTATCGCTCGAGAGGTGATAGAGTTTCAGGGTCGGTGACCTATCCGCTGTCACCGGTAGAGAGAGCCTCGGTCGGGCCAGCCCGTCTTAATGCACTCGCCAGGCTTTGAACCCAAAAATCGCCTGTCATGGACTGGTCTGTGCCGACTGTGGAGATGGCATAAAGCAGCAAATTGAGTTATGATTGATCAGAATCGATGGCCTAAACGCCCGTCGTAGACTTGTAGTACGCTGGTAAGTGCTATGGACCCGACGGAACGATGGATCTTGATTCCGAATAGCCAGAAGGATTGTCGGACTTCCAGAGGCCCACTTGAGTCTGTAGCTGGCCGGTGGAATATTAATAACGGCCAGACAGTGGGTTCTACGGATACCTTTTTAGATATTGAACTTTGGGAGCTCGCAGGTAGCTTGACGATACACGGGCTGTGTATGCAGGAGGGGTAGGGCGTATTGAAAGTATCCTCATCTATCCTCTGCATCTCCCGCTTCCAACTTGACCTATGTCTTTTTGTAACCCACGTAATAGCTAATACTAACACATATTTGACACCCAACGTCGCGTACGAAAGCACTGTAACAGAGTTCAAACGAGTAGGTAGTGTCCCACGTCAAAACCAGGAAATGCAGCACTCGGGCCATGTCATGCAATTGCTGGCCAGATCTCACCGGGTTTATTGGTTGTGGCTGGATGACCAGAATCCACTACTTTGATTTTAGCATATTCAGGCCGTTGGTGCTACCATTCCAGCCTTCTTTGAGTTAGTTCCTCCGTTGGGGCGTCCATTGAGTTTCATGGCTTGGGTGACGGAATGACGGATTCCGGAAGTCTGTCAGGGCCGGAGAATAATTATTATTGGATTCTGTATTTCTAATGTAGTCCTACCTACTAGGGTCTGGACCATCAAGTTCATTCCATAATTGTATATACGTAACCAGAACTGCACTTTTCCAACCAATTGACCTGCCATAGAACCGATGTGTTCCTCATCAATAGCATTGTCTATCATGAAAATCCTGCTGTCATTGAGTCAATCCTTGCCGTAAGAGTCGAGTCAAGTACCAACGCTAAGGGAGTGATTTACGTGCCAAGAATCTAGTTGAAGGACGGAAATGGACGGAGTTTCCGGACAGGCAGTCCGATCCCCAATTTTTGGGCTTTTTAATTTTCGAGCTCTCAAGTAGGGGATGTCGGGACCGAGGCTGCGATTGTAAGATAGCGCAATCGGACCCCTTTCGAATGATCTGCTGAACATGGATTGACTGCGGTAGTGGTAGTTACATCTGTCAAATCCCTTTGTTATCTATCACAACGCCGGCATTTGCCCATGTTCTTATGCGAGCTCCCCAGATCTGCTGAATCTGAAATCATAGATGAGCATGATCCTCGCGAGTCGGGCTAGTCTGACACGTCAATCTCATAGTCCTGTGTTTGATGCCTCACATTTTCTGAGATAAGCTCCAAAACCGTTGGAACTAGTCCGGCTAAATTTTAGAAGATGTGATAGTTCACATTGGACAGATTGGATCCCTGGATTAAGGGAAACCGCAACAGCAAGTGCGGCAAAGCCAGCTGCCGAGCGTCCAAGCTCGGGCCTCCAGTCGAAACCTGACTTATTTTAATAGGCGTTTATCTCCTGACTATTCCGTGTCCTGCCCCTTATCCCTCGACGTGAAGCGGTCAAGGTTCGCTCGGTGCCAACTTCTGAGTCTAGACAGGTTTCACAGGAGCTATAAGCTACCCCTGGTGGACTGAGCTGCTGTTTGGCTGGAGGTGAGGCTTTAGCTTGCGTGCCATTGTTAGTTGAGGGCCATATACAGACATGCTTGAGCAAATATCCATATCCTTATTTTGGAAGCGTGCTTCAAGTGGAACAAGCTGGCATCGCATAATATAACTAACTCAAGAGGCTCAAACCAGACGCGGAACATGTTGACTTGATCAAACTGACTAAAGATATTCCCTCCTCTGCCATTACTAGTAAGTAATCATGATACATGAAAGAATGAACTTGGCTCAAAGTCCGTAAGTGCTGAGTTGATAATTACAATTTTTGGACTTTGTTTGTACCATGGGTGTATTTGCACTTTATCCACCCTGGCGGCTCGGTCCGCTTGCCCCGCCCAGTGTACCATAATTCTGTTTCAGTACGGAGAGCCTTACCAGAAATACAAGCTGAGCCACATATGTGTATTCTATGTATTGGGCAGGCGAGGCCAGCAGTGGATGATGATGGGTCCCAGCTATTGTATTACTCTGCACCGGAGAGGTGTATATTTTATGTATTTTTTCATTAATATATGTTTTCCCCTTCTTCATATCCATACAACTTGAACTGTGGCGTTCTCTCTACTACATATACTGTGCCCACCTAAGAAATGGTTCGCATCTTTTGGATCTTTACTTACCTGAAAGCAACAATGCAATATCTACAGGCAAGCATCATAAGAGTACTTCATCCTCATTAGAAAAAGCAATATTCTACCCATAGTTCAGACTAACACAGTATAGTCTACTGCTCCCGCGACCAGCTGCGCCCGTACAGCCTTCTTCAGTGAGCGAAGGATTGGCCTGAAGGAATAAGGACCATGGGATGCTCTCCCGCATGCATATATTTGTGCATTCCTCCTATACACCATTGCTCTTTTATGCTGCTTGTCACAGTGCAGTGTGGTACTTTGGGCCACCATCGCGTTCTCAGCTGGCACGCCGAGGATTTGGAGGATTCATGAGACCTTGGCATATAATCAGAGCCATTGTGTTAGGCTTAAAGGACAAACAGTCATGGCATATTATTCTGGCCATATTTTGCCATCTGTCCTTGTGTGGAGTATGGCTAAACTCTCTGGATAGAGCGCACTGTCAGGTCATTCATTCAGACATGAGACTAACTCAGAGCATAACCCAGCCACATTACTATACATCCTTCAACTGCCATTATTAACAGCAGAGGGTAACCACTACCCCTCATCAAGCATTGTATTTTTCTCACCCGCTCTTCTTCTCTCAACTTTCCGCCTGTTGCATCCCAGCACAGTGGGAACAAATAGGATCCAATCCGCTAAATGTAGAGTTCCGGTGTTCCGCACTACTGCCGGTCTAAGACACTAGTGGTTTTTCTAGCCTCGACGGCTAGTTCTGCACCAATCCTTTTCTGGAAGGAAAGAACCTTCATGTGGCAAAGTACGGCCAGTTGCTGGTGTATGACCAGAAGACTCGGAGACTTAACTTCTGGGCCGGAGACTTATTTGGTAGGCTGATGGACCTCGTTCATTGCAATAATTATCCTGGTTGCTGGGTTTACTGTTGCCACTACGGAGTACACCGTGCAAGTAGAAGGTTAATTAATGGATATTAACATACAGTTGTTTCGAGTCAAGTAAATGTACGAAAGTGGAGTTGAGTCTCCAGAAATCCGGATGGTAACAGTGGTATTTCTTACGATGCTTGCAGCAAACAAACAGAAGTACCATTCCTTCAAGCAAGGTAGTTTGGGTATCAACATGAGCGCGAAGGCTGGATGATCTCATAAACGTTTTGTATGACGCGCTAATCTTCCAACGCTTCCCCAGAAAGCAAAAGTCCCCTGGGTCAACTCTCCCCTCCTACCACCTTTCTTCTCTTTGCCGGGTAGCCTTTGGTTTCAGATGCGTGCTTGCGTTTTCCGTCGCACCTGCAAATAAGACAGTCGATGTAGAAGGCATTTCGGGAAAAGTACCCTAGAGCCTCATACGCGGGGTTGGCTCCGACAAAGGTGGTGGTGTCCCAGTAGAAGCATTCGTCGCAAAATGCCCTCACGCATCGCCTGCAACAAAACAAGAGGCGTCCAGCTTCTGATGCATTCTTGTGGCATTTCCAGCAATAATGATGAGGGCAAATTGATGTTCCCGAACTCGGATGTTCTTCTTCGATCACGCTCTCAAGGCAAGCAGTGTGAAAAGCACGAGGGCATATGTCACAGTCCTCCGCATTGAACTGGTGACACAGGAAGCACGTCTGAGATTTATTAGCATGCGATGTTCCTCGATTCGGATCGCTACTCACTAATTGATGGGTAAAAGTGTTCGTGGGTGAGGCACACTCCTCCTTAGTGGACGCCGGCTCTTCCGAGGGACTCAGGCTTTCCTTGCTCACTGCATAGCCGTCGATCATGACCGTCCTCTCCTTACCAATGCGACGGTTAGAGCGGAGCAGATTGCTGCTCTCTTCTTCAGCATATACTGTATGATGGCGTCCGCTCGTATCAATGGTCACCCCGTTGAACAGGTTTGTCCTGACTCTGTCGGCCTTCTCAAGCCAGAGTTGTTCTTGCTCAACGGTGAGACATCCGGAGAGGCCCCCGTCTCCTTGGGTACTTGAGCACTTGTTCAGAATAGTGCTCATGTCCCACTGGGCCATTTCGTCTGTATCAATTTGTCTCTGAGACAAGAAAGTCTGATCCACGAAGACGGGCGAAGGCAAGCCAAATGTATCCGTCAAGTTCTGAGACGTGCTCACCTCTTCAGACTTGAGCATGTCAAGGTAATCATTTCCGGGGCAATGAGTGTGTACGCTGTCGGTCACTCTATCTGCGATGTAGGCTTTCTTGATTAGCCGACGGCTCATCTGCTCTTCGACTGTGCCTGTGGAACGGAGCTTATAAATCACGACTGGATGGGTTTGTCCAATTCGATGCACTCGTGCTTCGGCCTGTCGCATCACTTGAGGGTTCCAATCCTCATCCAGGAACACAACCACAGAGGAGCTGGTCAAATTTAACCCTTCCCCGCCCGCTCTAATCGAAACCAGGAAAACCTTGTATCTCGGATCGTTCTGGAAAAGGTGCACCATGACCTTGCGCCATGGCCCAGTGGTTCTCCCGTCGAGCCGGGCGTATTCGAAGGCTCGGTTGCTGCCTTGGAGCATCATGACTAGGTCCTCACATAAATTCAGAGCCTGATCAAAGTTTGAGAAAACGATGACTTTTGTCTCGCTCGCCATATAGTGTTGAATGAGTCTCTTCAGCACTAAAAATTTTCCTGATTGATTGATAATATGTTCTCCCAGTCCATATGGGTTGGGAATCGCGTCAGCAAAAAGATAAGGATGAATGGAGCACTGCTTAATGTCAGTCATGCGCAAAACGGGAGGGGAACTCGCGGACTGACTTTTCTCAGCTCCATGAGAATATTTCCAGTGATACGGTACTTTCCAGGCCCAGGCGTTTTTGCAGAACCCTCGAACATTGAATTGACTGCCTTAGAACATAATTTTTCGACTGCCGGTTGTTCAGACAAGGGGCCATCTAGTTGAATGCGCGAGGTAGAGGCATCCAAGGGCAACTGCCGGACTTCTGCACCTGTAAGGATTCTCAAATACAATGAACGTTGTGCAGGCGATAAAGGAACCGAAAGGACAGTTTCTGTTTTGGGCGGAATATTCAATCCAACTCCGGGCGAATCCTTGGTTCTTCGGATCATGATCAGCCTTAGGAAATTTTTGACACTTTCAAGAAATGCAGGGTTGAATTTTCCATCGCTAAGGGAGAAGGCCTCTTGGAAGAGCTTCTCAGTGGCTGGCACAAAGATCTCAGGGTAAAGCCAATGGAAAATCGACCACAGTTCGCTCAAGTCATTCTGTATTGGGGTACTGTGAACGCGACCAGATCAGCAGCATTCAGTTCATAGAAAGGGCTGCAACTTACCCGGAGAGTACGAGCTTCATTTCTGCTTTGATGCGATTAAGGACCAACGCTCTCTTCGAACGACTGTTTTTAATCCTGTGGCCCTCGTCAAGGACGACGCCTCGCCAAACGAAGACCCTTGAGAACCAGTTGATTTCTGATATCAAAGTCTCGTACGTTGTGAGCACAATGTCCACGATGTCCGTCGAACTTTTGAGAATACTAGGCTTTTTCTGGACTGATATCATCCTCTTCACGGCGTCTCGTTGCTCGAATGTGCCATGGTATTTCACAACTCGAAGGTCGGGCGTCCACTTCTCGATCTCTGTTAACCACGTTTCTAGGATACTTAGTGGACACACGACGAGAAAGGGCGCATTGCTGTTTGGAAATCGACCATCTCGTTCTTTCAAATGTTGAAAGAGGCTCAAGGTCTGAAGCGTCTTGCCTAAACCCATCTCGTCGGCAAGAATACCACCGACGCCGTTGCGGCACAGGTATACCAAGAAAGACAGGCCCTCAAGCTGGTACGGCTTTAATTCTGCTCTGAGGCTGTCCGAAAGTTAGCCAAAATCCGAAAAAGGGGGCTGCTATAATCAACTTACCCACTGGGCTGAGCACTAAGACTTTCATATTCGATTATCTTAGCAGATGTGGAAATGTTTCTGTTGGTCAGCTTTTCAAATGACTTTGCGCCGCCAAGGAGAGGGAGTATGATGTCCATGTGCGAGAGCAGAAATGTGATCCGCCTCGTTCGGATGTCCTGAAGAATGTCATGCGTTCTGCTGGACGCGGATGTGTTAAGCTGGGGTTCTGCTGGCCAGGGGATGCTGAAGACTCGCGAACGGCCCTGTCGCTCTGTCTTTTTGAGACACTCTCGGTCTAGCACAGCATGGATTGCAGTGTCAGCGGTACATCGAGTCTCACTGGCGCCATTTTCACCAATGATTTCCGACCCTTCGGGAGATGTCGGCGGCGAGATACTCCATGATCGAGGTGTGCTCAATGCGGAAGACAAAGACCCCGACTCTGAGCTTCGACTAGTACATGGCGCTCGAGAGATGTTATTGCCCATGTTGAATTGCATCTTCGTATGCTAGGAGGGAGATCAAGTGTAGATGACGGGACTTTGTATGTGAGTAGGTTGAGAAACTGAGGATAGCCATGAGGGGGGAGAACTGGCAGAGAGCAACTAAGCAGTTAGGAGTATAGAAATAATTATGCTTCACCGTTTGAGATCTTCTGAAACGAATGTGAGCAATAATCATACTGAGTGTTACTCTCCAGGAGCAAAAAGAACTACCATTCTTAGGGCATGCCTCACTTGTAACTTTGACTTCGGCTGACCAGTGAATCAAGAGTATGAAAATCTGGGGTAGTGTTCTGTGGGGAAGTGATCCGAAACAGAAGCTTTGCATTTCTCTGTGAATGTGCTAGATCTGTAGCCATCAAGGTGTGTATGAGAGAGCTTTTAGGCTGCCTTTAATGTGTTGTTAAAATGAAGTCTGGGTTGCATGATTTTCATTCAAGGCTGACAAGCCTAGACGCTTTAGCACTATTATATGCTAGTTCACGACCAGTTTTGTATGCGCGGAAATTGTGTATGATTCACATGGAATGATCCTAGGACCATGCACGTTAGTATGCTTGTAGATGGAGTCATCCATGTATCTTTCTTAGTGATTGGAGGAGGTTTGAAAAGCACATAGAACACATCTTCATGTCCCCTAACTATCACTATTATACTGTGCATTCTCGTCATAAATCTACAGAACGAACGCCATTACACCTTAATCCTCCGACTCAACTGCTCCGTCCCTGCGGACTTCTCAAAGTCAATCTCCCCCAAATTGACCCTCTTCCCCAACGCGCGACGGATGATCCAATCCTTGCTGTTGACTTCTTCCTCGACGTCCCCTTCTTTCAGCTCAGGAATCCGATCCGACCCTTCCAACCGCTTAAGGACTACATCATCCTCCGGCCGCGAGAAGTAGACAAGACTATACCGGGTCCAATCAGCCTGCTGGCCCGGTGGCGCCGCCACGCGGTGGATGTTCGAGCGGAACAGCCCATTTGTGAACTTGACCATTGCGTCTCCCAGATTCACGATCGCGTGTCCCGGGAGAGGCCGCACGTAGACCCATTGCGCGTCCGCGCCGGGCGGGAGAACCTGCAGGCCGCCGAGGCGGTTGAAGAGGATCGTGATGCTGCCGAAGTCGGTGTGTTCGCCTAGTGCGGTGCGTCTGTCGTCGGCGGGCTGGGGTGGCGCCTTGATGAAGCGGACTTGGTCGCCGCTGAGAGCGTTGAGACGGTGGAGGCCTGCTAGAGTTGAGGGCGGGAGGCCTAGGCTGTCGTTTAGGAGGGTGAGGATCAGCGTGACGATTGAATGGGAAGTGCGGATGAATGATTTGAGGGTTGGGCGAGCTTGATGGAGGATTGCGGGGGCTGGGAGCTGTGGTGTGATGCCTAGGATGTCGTTCTTCGAGATCTGGTTCGACTTGTGAGCTGACGTTCATGTGCATTGGGACTGCTGAGGACAGACATTGTAGAATTCGTTCCGGTCAAGATTCCCTTGACGATCAACGACCGCTGCACCCTGCGCTTTATAGCCGTGGTAGGAGTTCTGGTTGCTAAAGTCATATTGTAGTTTCTCCTCCAGACTGAGATTTAACAGGTTCTCGCCTGTTTGAAACAGCTTGTCTGCATCACTGAGGATGCCACGGCCCTCTTCGGAGCCTTCCAGGTAGAGGTAGAAGAACCCTAGATCTTCACATGCTTGCATCAGCCTCTGGACCTCGTTCGCGTCACGCGCAAGCAGCTTCTGGAGAGATAGACGCAGTAGGGGAGCGGTTGGTATATCACTTGGGAAAGGTGGCAACCCGGGGAAATCGTTCGTATCGACAACCATGTTAAAGTTGTACAAAACAAAAATAGTTGCTGATGCTTGCACTAAGCTCTGAAGAGCGAATGTCAATGAAGAACGACCTCCGCTTTCATTCTTTATATCAGCACTCGAGTCAAGTGCCCTGTGGTCCCCATGCGGGGAAGAGAGTTGCAACCGAGGGCCAACAGAGGGCGGAGCTCACAGCCTAGACTGATAATAGTGATTATGATTGTGATTGAGCTTGAGATCTTGACTTTTTAGAAGCTGAAAGATTAGTCTGACCATCTTCGCCGACAAATAATATAGAACTCGGCATCTGAGTTGTGGGAAGTCTATCTCCTGCTGTGGCATCCCATGCACTTAGCATCAAAAATACGGCAGCAAAAGTGCTCTAGTAGTGAGATTAAACTTCAATGGATAGCTCATAGTACCCGAGAAACGTTTTCTTGGGAGATTTGACTTGAGCTTTTCGGCATCTGGAGACTTCACCGAGGATGGCTGTTGATGAGCGATATGTGAATAGTGATGTATGCCGCCATTAGGCAAATATTCATGCATTTTACATTTATATGCTGCTGCCATAAGATCTAATGATTCCAATATTGACAGATTGAATCAACGAGATCCTGTTGGAAGGTCTGCTCGGTGTGAAGCAGAAGCGCTATCTGCAACACATATAGGATCACGTGACAATAAGGTCCTCCAGATGGAGAGTTGGAATAATTCTCCATCGTTCTCACCACATCGCGTATTCCTCCTTCAACCTTTCTAAGCTCGAAGTCCGGTCGTTCGGAAGGAGCTATATTCTACACAATGACCGCACCGAAGCCTCACATCGCTCGCGAGCTTCTTGCGCGCGCCCACTCACCAGACACGGCAGAACAGCTCTTCACTGAGCGCATCAAACAAAAACCCCTCTACCTCAGACCGACCTCCCCCACACCCGCAGACAACCGAGAAAGACGTCGCCTGCATCGAATCCGCAAAAAGGAATACTTCTTGCGCAAGCAGAAACCGAAGCCCCTCTCCGCGCGCGAAAAGCGCATCTCGGGTCTCTACGATCTTCCCAAGGAGGAATGCAAATATTCCATCTTCAAGGAGCTTCACAAATTATGGGTTGGTTATATGCAAGAGATCCTGGACCTACGAGTTCGGCAGGTTCCTATCACGCCACAGTCACATGGGAGTAAGCTGGTTACTGCGGATTTTCATGGTGCTGAGGTTGAGGTTGTTCGGAGTCGGTGCTCGGGGCGGGTAGGTGTGAAGGGAATCGTGGCGAGGGACACAAAGTTCACCTTTATGATTGTCACGGAGAAGGATGAGGTGAAAAGTGAGTTCACTTTCGCGGAGATCCATTACACGGCTGGAGAAGTAAGCCTTGAGCTAATTTGCGCCGTGAAGCTATTCCCAAAGAACAGACCATCTTCCGCTTCTCTATTCCTTTACCGTCAGCAGATGATGAAGACACCGCTATGTCCGATGGTGATAAGGTCAAGAAGGAACTTACATTTGAGCTTCACGGCAGCCAATTCGAGAATCGGCCAGTCGATCGGGCCAACAAGAAATTCAAATGGCGGAATGTGGAATACATCTAGTAGTATCGAGTTTCAACAGCACACAAAATTGCCGAAGCAAGCTTTTACTAGCCATGAGCAGGTCTCATGACTGTCAGATGGCGGCGAAAGGGGACAATGAATACGCTACCAAGCAGTCGTCTGCCGGGACGGTCCCTAGACCGTCCACCTGGTCCCGACATCTGCTGCGAAAGTTGGCGAGGGTGGGATCAGGGCTCGAGAGCTCACGTCCCGGGGAATTTCCACTCGCAGTTGTTATGATCTGGGAAAATTGGACAACAGGTCTCTGTGTTTTTCCGTCGCCTATCGATGCAGTACATATACACACTGTTGAGGCGCACCAGGACCAGACTTCCCTTCTATTCCAATGCTATGCAATCTCCGCAGAATCGTGGGTCCAGTGCGATGTTCGCAGGGCCCATCTGAATAGCACTACATCTCAATCCTTAACTCTCGCATGATTTCTCAAATTCCCTCGTCAACCGACTATATCTCTGAGATTTGAATATCCTTCATCCTATCTTTCTTTTAAGTCAGTGGACGACTGGAATGTGCGCAAGGCGCATACTTGGTGGAGCCCCGTCTGCCTTGTTCTGGGTTGACATCCATGCTACCCATTAGTGATTTCGACCCAGTTATGGCGTGTTGGCCCTGATATTGCAGCTTTCCATCTTCCTTGAGTGGCGCAGCCTGGCGGACCTGCTTTTTCAAAGTGACGGAATCCAGGTCGATTCACATCCAGAACTGAAGCGCTGTCACGGAGAGGACACCGGACGAGGGTAGCATGAGTGTGCCGCTGGCCCACAATACGCTGGCCTGTTCGCCCATGTGAGTTGAGACGTGGGGTGCAGTAAAAGCACCAACATTCCATCTTCACATTCCCGCCCATTCAATGCTGAAGGTCCTCACATTACTGCCTGCTTCGTTAATGGGGTCTGAATCCATTTGCTCAGCTCCTCCTATCAGGAAGCCCTTCTTGACACCAGTTCCTAGTCGCCCGCCGAGGATGATATCCATCAAATCAATCTCCTCATCCCATTCGGCGGACACGGTCAAAAAGTGAGAATGGAATCGCAGAGGGTCGCCAGGATATGCAAGGTACTGGCAGCCGAATCGGAGACCTGGTGATAGATAATATCCCTCCGAGTGTAGGTGGGCAAACAAGGGGTACGATGATGGCACCTCCGGAAGTGGCAGAAGCTGCTTAGCAGGCAGATCAGGAGGTAGAAGATCCTCAGATGTAGCTGGAGTGATTCCCATGGCGTTTTGTGGTTGGATTGCAAGTGAGGTTCGTCGCGATGCCTGGGTGGAATCCGCCTGTTTATCGTCACCAGCGAAGAACTCAGAGCCCGGCATGTCTTGCGCGCCGTCTGCGGAGACCTGTTTTGGAGCAGATCTCTTTGCCTTGGCTGCCTTCTTCTCATCTAAATTCTTTAACGCTTCCTCCCTTCTCAGCTCCTTTCGGCTAGTTTGAAGGCGCATTGCTTGGAGACCCTGGTTTTCTATATCTTGCAGGTACCTCTGCCGGTCGGCCTCCATGATAGATTTCATTCCATCCTTCTGGAGTTTTACCTCGTCTACAATGCAAGCTACACCTTTCTCCACCAGAAGCCTGGCCTCTTCAGGCATCAGCTCTAGCGGCAAGCCCAGGAAAACATTTTGTTGCGGGATTTGTGGCAGGGTACCGATCAAGACACCACAGATGTGATATTCGCGTCTCAAATACGTGACGGCATCAATTGAGAAAAGATAGTAACTACCCGAGATATACGAGATCGGAATAGGGAGAGGAGGTTGAGTATCCATTCTTGACGATAGTAGCACAATTGCTTAAATGAAATCAGTCACTGTTGCGACAGTATCAACGTTAGCCTCAAGCTCCACGAGGATAAGCAGAGTATAGAGAGTTCAAGGTAGACAAATCATTTTCAATACATTTCTCAATCACATTTGCTCGATATTTTTTGAGATAATAAATGAGCTTCAGGGGATTGACAGATTATAGTAGTTGTATAATCATGTGAGGGTAGGTGAAGAACCAGAACAAAAGACGTTTCACTTACCATCAGAGAAATCTCGGTAGTAGAGGAGTGACCTGCTCTGGTCTTCGTCCTGCGAGAGCCAGAGCTGTAGATGTCACCCACAGCTGCAGATTGCGAGTGAGGAAAAGAAGAGAGCAAAAGTAGTGTGTGGAGGTGCTGAAGAAAAATGTACCCTATGAGAAACGAAGCTAATCCTATTTGGGTATGCTGTTTCGGCATCGCAAACGGACCGGAGACATCGAGACTACTAGTTTAGACTTCGGATCTACTTCGTACTCTGATTGATCTCACACGGTGCTCATACACGGTCAAGAACTCTATATATCCCTGGTAACTACCAGCGGACAGATTTTTCATTGATATTCGACGGTCTAGTAGCCACTGCCACGATGAGCTTCTTAATGCTGCTCTTCTTGGTCTTCTTTGCACCCTTCTTCCTATTTCTAGGTAGGCACTGCTTTTCCGGTTGTTTCTTGTCACCCCAGCGCTGACTATGTAAGGGTGGCTTGGTATCACAGCGATTCGCCGGAGTCGCCTTGGATCCTATTTTCCAGGAGTCTCCGTAAGGCCTGGACTCGATGCCTATGACAGGCATTATCTTCGGACTATGGTCAACACTGGCTCCTCTATGTCCGAACAAATTGAGTTAGACAATATGTTGGCGCAGTCAGACCATGAAGAGTAGTGAACAAGATCTGCTAGTATAATCTTGCAGCTTTGTGGACATGCAATCAGAATTCAAGGTCCGCTTTCTTCGGCATCCCGCCGGGTACCGCAGCATCTTGTGCCTCTTTGTCTCCTTCCGCAGGTGGTAGGCTGAAGGGCTTGATCTCGAATCTTCGTCTGCTTAGGGTGAAGGCCCAAGCTTGTCCGACGTTCTGATCACCTCCGCCACCACGCTCGTGAAGCACTGGCAATTTATGGGTCTTGAGCATGCCTTGCGGTGGCTCCTCCTGTGATGTCGCAGCCCCAGATGTTGCGAGGGCATCGGACGAATGGGGAAAAGGACAAAGTTCGATGACTCCGTCGCTGATTATCTCCATCCATCGCACCAGTCCTGACGAGCGCGGGAAAAGAGACAAAGGAACTGTGATCATTGCCGTGATGCGGTGACCCTGGGTGTTCATCAATGCCCTCAGTGCATGGAGGAAGGGCAGAACATGGTCTGGCTGGCTGACTTCGGGTGGATATATCGTAGGATTGAGTAAGGATGGAATGACGATACGATGTACTGTGTTTGGGTGATTCGAAGCAATTGCCGTCTGAAGACGCTTGTAGATCAATATGAACAAGGGTTCATTCGACGGCGTGAGGGGTATATATGTCAAGTTCGATATGGAAGGGTGGGTGAGACGCTTTGTCAGGTCAAAGGCGTGACAGAACGCCTCTTGCTTGTTCATATCAGCGG